TGTTTTAGGACTTGATAATTTCTCTGGATTATTGAAGTAAACTCTTAACTGGTCACTCTGCCTTCAGATTTTCCACCCTCTTGTTTATTTTCTTTCTGAAACACAAACCTGATCCTGTCACAATGCTCAAATCTCCCCAAATGCCCTCAATATCAAGAATCATAATACTGATTGTGACCTGCCTCAGAGCACAATCTCACCTCAAGCCGCAAGATATTCTCCCCATACTCTTGAGCTCTATTAACCCACCCACAGTCTCTCATACAAGCTACATTCTCAAATCTCTGACTTGGGATATATTTTCTACCTCCCTCTTATTCCTTTACCTAGTGAACTTCTCCTCTGGGATTCTTCTTCAACCCTTCCTTGAGCCCTTAAGGAATTAGGAAATTCTTCCTAAGTGTCCCCATAGCAACCTGTGCTTCCCTGCATCCTGATGCTTCTTGTGCCCTGGACTTTCCCTCTAGGAACTGATCTTCTCCCCTCCCCACCTTTTTATCTTCCAGCAGCCCTGGAGTCAATTCTGACTTATGGCGACTTCCTGTGGCCCAGGCAGCATGGTCCATCTCCTGAGACTCATGAGAAAGGATTATATTTTTGCTCCTAGTGTAGTGCTATGGGATAAGCACTTGACCATAAAGTCGGTTTGAACTGCAACATCAGAGGTTCAAACTCACCAGCTGTTCCCTGAAAAACCTATACAGGGTCGCTATGAGGAAGAACTGACTTGACGTCACTTATTAAGAACAATGAGCAGCTGTTGTTCAGGCACAAGATTATTGGAATTGAAACACAAAAGCTGTTGAATTCCATAATTCCACAATTGCTTAGCCAAGGTAGATAGCAAGAGGTCAGCCTACACAAACTCAGCCTCATTTTCAACTTGCTTTTAATTGCATCCAGGGCTATAAAGGGAATATGTGGCTTAATCCAAATATTTCTAAGTCACTCCTTTTAATTTTCTCTGCTTCTTGCTTACCGTTTTCTCTCATCCCCAGACTTTCCTCTTTTTTGCCCCACTACAAATGATCCCACATGGTCTCACCCCAACGTTTACTTCATATTCCGTCCATAAGACATCACAGCAGTTTGACACACATAGCTTACACTCTATGCATGCATTTACACTGTTCCCAACTCTTATCTACCAGACTCTTGTCCTCTTGGAAAATACTTAGGAATTCCTCAAAAATCAGTTTAAGTGGTCTTAAACAAGCAGAGGAGCATGAGATATATTTGTAGAGCTGTTTGTTAAGCCCTTCTAGAAACTTCCAGGTCAAGGCAGACATCTCTACATACACATTTCTGTTAGAGCTCCTCTCACCAGTGGCATTATTAGGGAGGTGTGGCAGGTGCAAATCATACTCGGTGACACTGTCCAAAGTGTGACACCGAAATGACTGTCTATAAAAGTGTATGCAGTGTTTCTGCAGAAATTTATTATTTTTATAAAACGAGCTCTGTAGTTAGTTACAACAACAACAGAAGTTTTTTGTAAGCCCAGGTTACATGCATCAATACATTTACAAGGCTAAAACTCTCTGCTAATTTATTTTTTGAACTTTCTCATTTGCTCTGGTCAGAGCTGTCATTATAATCCCATCACAGTGATGCTTCAAATCATGTGGTTTCATGTTCAAGTGCTTGTAAGCATGTACTGTGGTTTCTGCTGCTGTTAGTGTTTGTATAGTCACTGATTTTATAAAATTTTCTGGTAGTTTAGCTACAATATCATGTAGTATCATCGGTTCTTGATCATATAACACATCTTGAAATGCTTGAGTATCAACCAATTCCTTTTGGTACTATAACTGTGCATTCCTTCCATCTTCTTTTGATGCATCATTCAATACTTTGCCCATAGAATTATTCAATGTCACAAATCAAGGCTTAAAGTTTTCTTCAGTTTTTCAGCTTGAGAACTGCTGAGTATGATCTTCTCTTTTGACTTTTCTAACTCCATATCTTTGCACATTTCATTATAATACTTGACTTTGTCTTCTTGAGCTACCCTTTGAAATTTTCTGTTCAGTTTTCTCTTCAGTTCGTTTACTTCCTCACTTCTTCTAGTTGTTTTAGCATTTGTATCATTGAAATCTTTGACCATAGAACTGTTTATTAAACAAAGATACCATAATGTGATGCTATTATTTTTTTGACATATCCTCTATCTAGGTTATAAACTTCTGAAGGCAGTATTTCCATCTCTCTAACCCTTCCTGAAATAACTGCATGCATTTAGAATTATACTGCATCAAAACAGCAGCTTTGAAATCCTCGAAGGATTCAAATTATGTTCCTTTTTAATGTTCTTTCAGTTTGGGCAAGAAAAAGAAATCTGAAAGGGAAAGAATGGGGCTATAGGGTGTGGGCCAAATGAAATTCTCAAAGGCCTGGTCCTTGCTATCTTTGAAATATGAGAAGGTTAATTATCAGATGGAAAAAGGTCTTTGGCTCAACTTAGCTGCTGCTTTCAATTTTCTTAAAACATCTTCATAATAAGACCCCATGATCATCTTGTGTCCTTCAAGAAAATCTATCAAGTCCTCAAAACAGTTGCCATCTGAGATGAACTCTGCAATGAATTTCATTGGCCCAGTAGATCCCCTAAGAAGCCACTGGTTAATTGGATCTCTTTTTAAAGACACCCTAAAGAGTCCTGGTGTGGTGCTGTGGGTTAATATGCCAGACTGCAAAGCTGTTTGAACTGCAAGGTTGGCAGTTCAAGCTCACCAGCTGCTCCTTGGAAACCCTATATAGAGTTGCTATGGGTCAGAGTCCACTCAACAGCACTTAACAACAACAACAACAACAAAGAGATTAACACAAGTATATCACTAGAGAACTTGTCTCCAGCAATCTGTTGATCACAGAGACTTGTTTAAATATATTTTTTTGTTTGGAATAAACAGTGCATGCATGAACTAATAGCAATACTTTTTTACTTACTCTCATACATTATCTCATCTTACATAATAAGCTTATGAGACAAAAAGGAGGGGAAAGATAAGTAGCAGACATAAGGGATTATTGAGGCAGAAATGAAACGGGAACCCAGAGCTCTATATTTTTTCTGCTTAGAATTGAGATATGTCATGTTCAATGTATGTATGAAGCTCCATTGTTTGCATATAAGGAAAAAGCAGGATGGAAAAATGATGAAACAGATCAGAGGTCTGCAATACTTGTATTCTAGCTTAAACAATAGAAATATAATGTGAGCCATGTAGAAATGTAAATATACTGTGTGGATCATGACAACTGAGGATAACATGGGGAAGAATGGGTACTCCAGAATGTTTAATTGTGCTCATGAGGAACCTGTATACAGACCTCTTGGTGTTAGAACAGAACAAGGGGACATGGAATAGTTTAAGACCAAGAAAGATATGCACCAGGGTTGTATCCTTTCACCATGCTTACTTAATTTGTATCCTGAGCAAATAATATGAGAAACAGGATCGTATGAAAAAGAACATGTGATCAGGATTGAAGGAAGACTCATTAACAACCTTCAATATGCAGATGACACAATCTGGTTTGCTGGAAGAGGTCTTAAAATACTTACTAATAAAAATCAAAGACCGCAACTCTCAGTATGGGTCGCACCTCAATGTAAAGAAAACAATTATCCTCACAGCTGGACCAATAACATAATGATAAATGGGGAAAAGATTGACGTAAAAACTTCATTTTGTTGGGTTCACAATCAACATTCATGAAAACAGCATTCAAGAAATCTTCTGATGTATTGCATTAGGCAAATATGCTGTACAAGACCCCTTTAAATGGTTTAAAAGTAAAGATATCAGTTTGAGGATACTAAAGTGCATCTGACCCAAGCCATGGTATTTTTAACCACCTCATATGCATGCAAAAATTAGACAATGACTAAGAAAGCCTGTGGAAAAATT